ATAAAAGCTGGAAATCCCTGTCGGGCGCTCTAATTGGTTTGCGTTCTGGGCGCAGGTTATCGTCAAAACCCCTTGTTTAATTGTTCTTAGTTAAAACTCTTTGGTTACGCTTTTCCGCACTTATTTATACTATCTTCACCATAGTTCCCTGACCAAGAACAAATGTCAGAAGCCATCGCTCATTATGCAAATCGGGTGTAATTGGCACCTCAACGTGAAGTTGGAACTTCACACTTGAGGCGAAGACCCTAAAGCGGAGGCGCGAGAAGCCCCACAAGTTTGTCTCACCCCGATGTGTTTGCATTTTAACACCTATTTGAGGAGGAATCTCGGAAACCTAGAAACGGTCGTAAATAAGTTTGTTACCTGTTACAAAAATTTTTTACATAAAATCACATAATCATCTAGGACATAGGCAAATGTGAAATTATGTGAAGCATTTTCACATAAAATAACATTCTGACCTCTTATGTGAAAAAATGTGATTTGAACTTCACATAATTTCACATTTGACTCCTTTCAGTTTGCGGGGTAAAACCGCTTCACATTTCATCACATCTTCTCACATTTTGAATTCACATTTTTTTTGGCCATCTTTTCGGGTTGTGTGATTTCACATAATCGATTCACATTTTTCAAACAGTTACATTGTTTCACATAAAATAACATTTGACGATTCACATTTTGAAAAAAAAATCACATTTTGGGTTTCACATATTTCTAATGGGATTCACATTACATCACATTTTTTCACATTTCATTAAAATTTTGCACGAAATTCACATAATTTTCACATTCATGCACCTGGTAGTGTAAGGACGACATTTTCGCGGGCGGCGGGCTGAAATTTCATCCGAGTTGTTGACAGCCTGATTACATCACGTGTTTCGGCCTCTGCGTCAAGATGGCGGTACGTATCAGACGTGTATATCATGTGCTCTTCGCAGTATACATATTTGAGGGGTTTTATATCAGTTTTAGTGTAGTTTTGTGGTAAAACTCGGTGCACAGTGAAATGAACAAAATGGCCGACCCGTTCTGCTCTGAATTTTCGTTCAATTTGAATTTCGGGGGAAACCCGTTTCGCACTCGATTTTGCATATGACGATATGTGGATGAAATGTGTTGAACCTTCGGCTATCTCCTACTATGAATATCCTGTTGGTGCGAAATCTGGATATATTTGCAATTCCATGTCTACTGGGGTCACTTTTTTCGGCAGTTTTATGGCTAAACCTCATCGTTTGTCGTTTGATTTCATTTCGGTCATTGTTGAATAATTTGCGTATATGTGCTTCATTTCTTGTAAACTTCATGTTCGTAGT